AGATTTGAGAGTGCGGAAACCAAGGCAAACGCTCTTGAACTTAATCGAAATAGTTTAAACCCAGATTCACACCCCTTGTTGAGACAAATGGATATGAGCCCCAGCGCTAACTTCAAACTAGCGTCAATTCTGACAAATTTTAGCGTCGGAGATAATACCGATACTACTACGACTCTGCAATCAGCAAGGAAGAATCAGGTCGCAGCTTCCACACGGTGATGAACCTGGGAACCTTTGCCATGCCATCCCTCCATTGGGTCCCCCCACACATTCCCCCCACAAGAGCGACAGTTTTTCTCCTAAAAATCCCCAAGGGATTTTTTCACTGTCTGCTCCTATTTTTTTCACCCCATGACTCAGGAGAACTGGCCTCGCCAATAGTCTGAAATACAATTTTTCTGCTATCACTACACATATGTACAAATAGGGAACTCAAAGGAAATTTATCTACATATCCCTCAATATACTGATACTGATACTGAATACTAAGAATTGGCTACATTGATAGTCAGTAGTAGTACAAACAATAGTAGCCGTATCAGGCTCAGCTTCCTTGGCCTGTCTTCACACCTACTATGGGTGAGTGAGGGTAGATAGTACAGTAGTACCCGCGCAAAGTCTACTGTCACTAAAGGCTAAGTTAGGCGGTGTTTTGGCGTGCATTTGATAAAGCAGCCTACGCCGGACCCCGTTTAGTCTTCGAGACTCCGGGGGAAGGGGAAGAGTGCGGAACCGCTAACTACGTCCTCTATCACTTTAAAGCTAACCCCTGAGACCGTCACCTTCTGTACCAACCTGTTGGTGCACATGGTGGACTTCATCGAAATCGATGGTCGAACACATATGTAAGGGGGTTAATTAAGTTAAATCCAGCAACTGCGATCTTCAGACCATGGTTACTTAGCAGAGAAGAAGTCTTGGGAAGGCCAGAGTAGTAGGAACAGTATCTTGTGTGCACAGAGGAACGGAGAATAGATAGAAATAGATTGACTTGAAAGCATACGACCAGCCAGGAAGACCAGCCAAGTCCAAGTGCTGGTTTGACAGCAATCAGGCCAGTATACAGAGAGAGAGGGAGAGAGAGAAAAAAAAGGTAGTTTCCTTCGTATGAAGTGGCAATGCAACAAGCCTGGTCAACAATTATGAGTGTGCATATTAAAGGAATCTTGACTTTAATACTTCCTATACAGCCAATGTTCTAGTATTATATATGGATGTGCACCCAAATGATATTTGACTTCGCAGCATAATACTCTATTAAAGCAATAGGAAGTTTATTGATAATTTTGACTCAATAACACAAGTAAGTCCCACCTCCTTAGATGGGTTTGCCCTGCAGTACGTCTAATCGGTGTAGCCTCTACTAATAACTCCAGGCTAAATATACGTTAACTAGGTTCTAAACATAAAAATCAATAAAAGCACATGTTACTGTGTCATGTGTCCTTTTAGACGAACCTAAATGATCTTACGGTTTCTCTTGCATCGTTTGTATCCGACTTAAATTAAAATGGAACAAAAATGCAACTCTCGAGCAAGGCGGGATGCTGCCAAGACGAGGAACGTTGACGAGGACGCATCAGGGAGTCTGAATCTAGTAATTTGTGTGCCCAAGCCGGGTGTAGAACCGGTAAAAGGTGTACATGCTCGTCGTGGCGACATTCTTCGCATGTGCGCGGCCGCCCTGCTTGTTGTCGCTGGATGGACTATTTTCATGCAACTGCACAAACACTACAGCTTTTTCTACAAAGATTGTGACCTCTGAGATTTTATGAATTACTTACTGGATTTAATAATGCGTGTATAGGCATCAACGAGTAAGCTGCCTCTTGCAGTCATTCCACCAGTGCGATCAGTGAGTTCAGTGAAACAGTGCAATTAACTTTCATAGGTGGATAAGGCTGGACGGATAGGAAATATAACGACTTTCGTTGGCAATTAATGGATCGGAGGTGCCCTGGCTAGACTCATTCCAAGCAATGATGTTAAAGTGAGCCTGAGTTTGGAGACTGAATATGTTTTGTACCGAGAAACCTTCATAGTTTAGTGTCTTTTTCTGCTTATAACAATATAGTATTATAATCTGTAAAGCCTTCAGTCAGTCAGTCAGTACATTTGAGGGAAAAATAGGCTTGCGCTTTTAAAACTCCCCTATTTGTCACATCAAAATCTCAAGAGTTATAAACAATGTTAACAAGTTTTTAGTCAGGAAAATATAGACTTTCACATGGTGCCGTGGTGTTTCGAGGCTAATTTGTCACATAGTTCCCGTCGTGCTGCAGCATATGTATATCTAGTCGGTGTTTGAATGTCTCCACAGATTGGGACATAACAATCGC